TCCAGGTTTCAGGATAAGCAAAACCTTGGCGCTACGCTATTCTTTAGGCACGGTACCCGTTTCCCATGCCTCATTTATCTTCTTAGTAATGATTACAATTGCTGTATTGTCTAAATTCAGTAGCAGTTTATTGTCGACGCCATCTGGCCCTGGCGCCGATATGTCATTGAGTTGCCTGTAGAGCGTACCGTATTTCAGCTTCCCTGAATGGTTCTTCTAGCTTTTCTTGCCGTCGACCTCCATATGAGGCATTTTTGTTTTCCCAGGCTACTGCTTTGCTTTCCAGTGGGAGATATTTTTGGCCCAGCGTTTTGAGGAGAGCTTGGGATCCACCACTACCCTGGGTGTTCTTGTGCACCAATCGTTCAATTTGCAGCTGTGTGCCTGCCTCTGGTGGGTTTGTCACTGTCCACCATAAGGTGTTTGAGCAGCCCCCATTTGCTTCCTCTCCTCATTTTGCCATCTGCTTCGTCACATGTGTTGTTCCACTGCTGGGCAGAGAGCGTTTCGGCGTCAGATTTGATTTCGCGGCTAAGGTCCGCGATATTTGTGCGTGAGTGTCTGTTGAGCTTGTTTTACGCCAAGCTTCTTTTAGGTCATGCTTTTTCTGCAGCAAACTGGCCAGGTGAGAGTCCATGACCTGGATGGATTCATCAGTCTCGACTTCTTTGGTTGCCTTATTCACTGCCATTTTTAGTTCATTTAGGAGGGCTTCATATGATATTTCTGTATTGCCCTTCTACTCACGTATTTTACGGAACTGGTCCCAGTCTGTGATTTTGAATTTTCGTGGCGCTTTCGCCTCGTTCTCAACGGTAATTTTCAAGATGCAGTGGTCGATACCTAGGTCTTTGGCTAGGTTATCCACGGTAGCTCTGACGTTCTTGGTGAAGGTTAAGTCCAGCCTTGTGTCCCGCTGTACCGAATTACCTCTTCTTGAAGGGAAGGGCAAGGTTGTTTATCAGCTGCAGGTCCAGCGCATTCGCGCTTCCTGGTAACTTGTTGCCTTTGCCTTCGCTTTTTAAGTATCCGCTTTCGGTGCTTCTGGCGTTAAAATCGCCCGCTTCTATGAGCGGCTTGTCACCCGTCATTTTCACCGCCGTGGTAAGCAGTCTGTTGAAATCTCTTTTCTTATCTGATGGAGGACTGTAAACATTGAGCACAAAGATGCTTCTTTTAACAGCCCTGTGTGAAAGATTTCCACCAGGACCGTTTCCAGGCCTTTTTTGTGTACGGGGGCGTCCCTTTCAGCAAACATTATGACCTTTCAGATGAAGGTAGCCACTCCTCGCGTCTTGTTCTGCTAGGGGTGCAGGGTCTGCCTGTCTACCTTGTACCATTGTATACCAATGCTTTTAGCAGTTTTGCTTTCTCCGCATTCCTGTAGCAATATTATATGCGGCTTTTTTTACAGGCTAGCAATAGTTGTGTTAGTGCTGTTTTGCGTTTCTGAAGTGAGTTACAGTTCAACTGCCAGATCTTATTCTCGTTATGGTCAGCGGCCATTTTGGCTTGGTAGTTTGTGTGCGTCGCGGCTCGTTATTTCCGCGAGACTGCGTGCTTTCACTAGTCGGATTTTAGCTCTAGATGTTATGCTCGGAACGCTTGCCGTAACCGCTGGTTTTTCCGCGATTAGGTTCGGAGGAGCACCTGCCACAGGTGGGTTGGCTACCATCTCTCCAGGCTCATGAACCTCTGGTCAGCTTTGTCAGTATAAGTCTTAAAAGTTTCCATAAACTTGGCAAGCGTATTCGCCAACGTATCAATTTTGTCGTTGAGCTTAGTTGTCGCGGACTCGACATTTGTCAGTGGGGCTTCTTTATCGATCGAGACCATCTCGATCTCATCTGTCGTGTCGCTGTCACTGTCTACGGCTTTGCGTTTCTGTGTGGTGTGGATCATTTGTTGTGAGCGTGTTGTCGGTGGTGCTGGTGAGCTCGATAGTTTAATTCCGTGGCAGCTCTCTATTCTAGCAATTGAGGCCCGGAGCTCTTCAAGCTCCTTCTTGAGGGCCCTGTTTTCTTGTTCAAGCACTACAATACGAGAATCAGGAGCATGCTCTGGCTGTGCCTTACCTTTGGGATGGCTACTTGTGCATCGTGATTCACATGCAACCCTGCTGGCCCAGGAGCCATTGTTCGGCTGCTGCTGCTGCGTGGCTGTTGGTCTCGTTCTCGATCGGGATCTGGAGCACTCCCGAGATGACAGGTGGTTGTCGGATCCCGACAGGGTCGAGGGGCGCCCTCCGGAACGAGAACGCCCTCTGGATCAAAAACGCCTTCTGCATCGGGAACGCCCTCTAGATCGGGATCTCCCCCTGGATGGAGAACGGTGATGGACGCTCGAGGCGTTCTCCCGTCCCGGCACCTGGTTGAGGCAAGTTTTCTTGAACGTGACAGATGTTGGTGCGTCTTGACGTTGTTGTGCTTGCCACTCTTGTTTTCTGCGTCTTCTTCTCCTTCTCACTCTGTATAGAATGTGGAAGCGTCTTTTGTATTCGGGATCTCCGGTGTGGTGATTACCATCGCAAAGCTTGCATTTCGGCTTGCAGTAATGCACGCCATCTTCTTGTAGCATTTCACCGCAGTTGTGACATTTCTTGCTCGTTGCGTTTGTGTGCCAGCAAACATCGACGCGATGGCCGATTCCTCCGCACGTTCTGCCAACATCGACCTGTCGCCTGTAGAGCGAGCAGGGAACCATGGCGGTTCCGCATATCACTGTGCTCGGAACACGCAACCCGTCAAAGAGGATTGCGACGACTTTGGTCTTTTTAATTCGTCTTGCCTCGATGGCAGTGGGTTTTCGGTCGTGCACAATCAGGCGTTTGAGCCTCGCGTCGTCAAGGGAGAGGTCAATGTTCTTGATGACGCCCTTGCATGTATTATTAGGCGCAGCCACGTATGCGGCAACTTTGAACGAGCCTTGGTTTGTGTGCAGTTTCTGCACGTTCACGTTTGATGTAGCATTATTTTGGTACGGCGTAGAAATAGCAATGATGTTTTGCATATGATGGGGCAGATCGTGTCCTCTCGTGCTTGTTCGTCGTTGATCTGGGCGGCCATGATGACGGCTCTCGCCAGCAAAACGAGGTCGACTCTGGCTACGTCCAATCCTACTCTGGGTCTCATAATTATCCTGATCTTGTCCTTGGGTAAGCGCGGTAGCCTGGAAGCGGATACCACACGGTGTAGAGCCGAGCGACTTTCGTTAAAGCCCCTTGGGTGCTTCGGCTGGTTGTTGTGCTTGACTGTCCCAGCGGCCAGCACCTTGTTCGGCGCAGTCGTCTGTCTTCGCCGTACCATGGCGGTGGCCCATCGTGGTCCGTCGAAGATCTCCACGCTTACTTCCATTCCCTCCTACTGTTATCGTGGAAGGCATTTTCAGTGCCTTGTTGTCGGCTGTGACGTATGGAGGTTGATCCAGTAGCTGCTGCGTCTGACCGAGCGCTTGGCTGCGTGTAATGGCCACACACCTCGCCAAGCCTACGTGTGGTTAGGGTTAGTGAGGACGCTCGCCGCATCGCAACTTGTGAAGTCCAAAAATATGTCTGAGGGTTCACTCACCGCCAAAAATGGCAACTCCACTGAAACCGCAGAGGTTGCTTGTTCGAATAAGCACAAAGCCAAGTGATATTGGAGCAAATAAACGACCGAAAACATTTAGAAAAGCGGAAGCCAACGTTCTCACGTCCGCGCTCCTCGACGCCCCCTAGCAATCCCCACCCATGTTTAGACGTATTCCAATAGTAAAAAAAAGTAAAACGTAAACGCGTCTGAGGCAGATGAGCCCTTATTTAAGTCTTTGGAACAGTGATTCCACATTTACTGTAGTGCCAGTGCACACTTTTGAACAATATTAAAGAAAACCCTCAAGTCCTATTCAGAAGATTCCAGCTGCAGAACTGCATTTGCAAAGCGCCGTGCTGATGCCATGAGTTGTGCAAAGCAGGAACGCACTCCTTTGAAGTGACTATTGCGCTTCTTGTTTAGTCATTCCTTAAGAAAGACATTCAGTGTTCCCTTTCCTTTTGTTCGCAATTGTACTTGATGTTTTTAAAATACTAAAGCAGGTCAGATGAGTGAACACTTAGTAACTTATAAATCGAAAATAATATCGAAGATTGATGATTGATTGATATGTGGGGTTTAACGTCCCGAAACCACCATATGATTATGAGAAACGCCGTAGTGGAGGGCTCTGGAAATTTCGACCACCTGGGGTTCTTTAACGTGAACCCAAATCTGAGCACACGGGCCTACAACATTTCCGGCTCCATCGTAAATGCAGCCGCCGCCGCCAGGATACGAAACCGCGACCTGCGGGTCAGTAGCCGAGTACCTTAGCCACTAGACCAACACGGCGGGGCAATAATATCAAAGAAGCTAGGCTATAAAGTGAGCAGGGAAACACACATTAATGGCGGAGATTCGAATTGGAGTAAAACAGCGGTAGGATTTGTACAAGATACCATAATTACAAGAACTGGGAATTATGTACGTTTTCTATAGTAACGAATAAATTGCAACAGAAGGACACTGCGATAATCCAGACACTGACTTACTTCTCAGCACTTACTCACGATGCGTTCTTACATAAATTAGGACGTTTAATGGAAGCAAAACTGCGAAATTAGGTTGAGTTTATGTAAACAGTGAATCCAGTGACGCGAGACACGAAGGAAGATTTATGAGAAGCGCGCAAGCGGAGAATTGACGGCAATAACGTAACACTGATTACAGCAACTTTATTTGTGGTACTTACACAGTGTCACTAAGAATCATCACATTGTTCGCACCATTTTTGTGGTCCACCGAACTAACCATACCCATTTTGGCGTCACAAAACCAGCTGACGTTAGCTGCAGCAGAATCTTCAATGCTAAAGAACTATCGAAGGTAAACGTATCATAGAAGAAAAGTCAATACTCACAAACTTATTCTTTTTTTCTTGTAAGCATGAAGCGCACTCTGCAATTGTTATATTGCTATTTTTTTCAGCACGATACAACTATGACTGAAGTTAACGGACCACTCGTGAACATGTTTAACGCAGGTAAGTTGCACTCTCTGAAAGTAGCTCCATAGAAATGCTTTGTTTTGTTTTAAATGCCGCAGAAAAATAACGCATTAAAATGCGCCATATATGTGTTCTACTAAATATATATGAAAATAAAAATGCGATAGGCAAGTCATGGTTCTGTAGCTTTCAATTCATCGCGATGAAACTGACGTCCTTTCTCTTACGTTAGAGCTGGGTTAGATCAGGTGATGTGCTACTTTTCGCACTCCGGCATGCTTCCAGTAACGTGCTAAGCCCGCCATATTTGCACCACAGGTGTGCGCACAAGGGGGGGGGAGGCACGGCCTCCCATCCAGGGACTTAAGATGAGAGTCACTGACCCGGCCCCGTGCATTCACATATTAGAAAGAGGAGCACTGTGACTTAGGGGGGGGGGTGCACAGTAAGCCCCACAGAGTGACTTAATAGGAAGGGGGCGCTTTCATGAGCATACAACCAGAAGGAGAAGTTGATCGGTGGCTACCATCAAGGCGCGAGTGAAATTCAACCCTTCAACACATATTGCAGCACTTAACTTTATGGCTTGGGGGCGTAAGCCGTATAGTTAGTTTAAATTAAGAACAACATAGCAATGGGTAGCAGTACTTGTACACCTGTCTTTGGGGTCCATCCCTCTTAACTGAACCCTCATATACTACGTATGTAAAAAGACATTGGGCTAAAGAATATCAATGCTTGAACAACTAAAGGCTTTGTTATTCAAAATTGTAATAAATATCGACTAAATAAAACTGAAGGGCTTGAAACAAGCTATTTGTTGCGTAGCTTCTAGAAAGCAGGGCTGGTTTAGACATGGAAAATAAAACGCACAACATCGGGAGCTGTACCTGTGTGTTTCATTCTTGGGTTGCAAAGCAGCCCTGTTTTCTTTATATTGACCGAATAAAGGACACGCAGTTACGAAACTATTCTATACGAGCTTCAAGGAAAGATAACAAAGCTGAAGAGAATAAAATTTGGCCCGGTATCTACATGCTAATCTGCAAATGTCGTCGAAAGACCTATAGTCTTGCGCCTGGAGAGATTGAACGAAACGTTTATTGGATGTTCTGCGCAAGAAAATCGGTTAATGATATTCTGGAGGCGCTGCGTTAGCGTGCCTTGAGCGTGCAGCGGAGGTGAACGAGTGCACCAAGTCACGTCAGCCGTGAGACATGAGCACTATCTAGCAGTTTTTTTTTTTGGAAAAAGAAGTGCGTGGCTTTGAGATAGGTGTGCGCGCTCATCTCAGAGGTGATAAGGTGTAGAAAGCAAGACGACGGGTAGGTTCCACCACCGTCTCGTATTAGCAAAACTTTGAAAACACTCGGCTTTTCGTGCAAGCGTTGCAAGGTCGTGCAAGCGTTGCAAGCGCTGCAAGACAGACATGCAGAATATATACGTGTTGTTATGCTGGCTCAGATATGCGCGATAATTGCTTTTTAATTGACAATCACGCAAGTATGAACACTGAATCTTGGGCAACATTGGTGGGCACTGTGGATGGGGTCAGCCGGTTGGGGTATCCGCTAGTGCCGTTTAACGTGCCCGGTACTGCTACGAGTGGACAAACAGACAACTGAACAGACAGACAGACACACACACAGACAGACAGACAGACAGACAGACAGACACACAGACAGACAGACAGACAGACAGACAGACAGATAGACAGACAGACAGCCAGACTGCCAGACAGACAGACCAAAAGTTTTGCTTCGTGGTCCCCAAGAAAAACTATCATCTTTAAAATGGTATGAGTGCATGCATCGTGAAATAAGAAGAAAGCAAAAACAGAAGTTTCAGAATTTCAGGACTCATCTTTTTCTCTTACGCACAATAAAGTTGGAAACTTACCTTAATATAAAGAAAAGTTCGTCTATGCTTTTTTTCGTCCGTCCATAATACTTGCGTCCATTCATCCATGCATCCTTCCATCCATCCCAAGGTGGTCCTATAGAACGTCTAGAGAGGCAGTCCCGGCCACCGCCAACGGGAGCATGTGAAGCCGCCAGTGGCCATATTGCTAGAGGAAAAACAGGGTGGAACCGTCAAAGACCGCAACGGAATACGCGCGTTGTGCGCGTCAGTTTGCAGTTCAACGATAAAAAAGAATGAGATGGAAACCACTTTTGGTTTACACCAACAAATAAATGCCACTTCTTGTTTATGAAACAAATTATTTCATGCACCCATTGTCAGCTGCGCACTTTCAGATTATTCTGTTGTCGAGAGTTGATTTGCATTTCCAGCTTGCTGGCGCACTATTGCGGTACAAGAGGGTTAGAGTATATATTGGGTGTTTTAAGAAATGTGCCTGCAGATACTCAGGATCAAAGGGAACGGGTCATTTGCTCGCCTACTTCTTATATGTGCTTGTGTGTGTGTCGGCAGACTACTAGAGAAGATATATAAGGAAGATGAAATAGTTTATAGCAAAAGTTAGAAAAAAATGGGTAACTATGTAAACTGGGAGTCATCAGTTTTTTTCTAGAGTTATCGAATTCTAACCTTCTAACCTGATTTACAGGCGGAACCAAAACGGAAGCACCGATGTCACGTTTAACCGACAAAACTCCAGGAGACGTACCCCCAATGAACCATTTATAAGGAACGATTGCAGTGGCGTTAGTAATGCATTATATTAATCAACTTCCATTGGTGACGTGGGTTGTCATGGCAAGCGCAGCCTTGAGAGCCGTAGAAACGAGGTAGCTCGATGTTTGATATAACGGCACTCACTAGATCATTTTGGCAACTTCGTCTATCGTTGCTTTGGTTTTCGGTTTCGTTGGCAAGATAGAATTTTTTTCAAAGGTGTCTCATCTTGTTTTAGACGCAATTGCTTACTTTGGTCCCTAGATTTTATTGAAGCTATGTCGAGGAGGTAGAAACTAACAGGTTTTTGCAGATGCACTCGGAAAGCAGGAAAAATTCGAAAGTGCACTGCCAGCCGCACCCTGTTGTCTGCCCCGTTTTGCCGAAGCAGCATTCTTCGAAGTGAATACAACAGAGGTAGTCACACCGTAGCCCTCCAACTATTCCTTCGAACAGCACGTTCCCCGGCAGAACGCAGTGCACTGTCTTTCGGAAACCTGTAACACGGATAATCACGGCATATATAGAATTCTTCTCTGCGTTTGCGAATACCTTGATAAACATGCACCGAATTCAATAATCACTCGCCAAAAAACTATGCATGCAAGCCATCCAGTCTCGCCTTGTAAGACAACACCAGAAAACTTGGAATTAAAAGGGCATTCAGACGTCCTACGCATTTCAATATTTTATACGTGCAGCCATAGACCGCAAGTGCTTCATCCATAAACTTTAAACTCATGAACAACGTCCTGTCAGCGAGCATTTGAAGCTTCAATTTACCTTCCATACAGCTATCCGCATGTATTACACACATGCGTGCCCTTGGTATTGTTTCTAATTTAACAGAATACGCGAAAAAACGGGCGATTGTCGACGTATGAAGCCAGAATACTTATACGTGAAAAGTGATCCCAGGCGTCTTTTTATGCGATTTGCGCAGCCATAAGTTACGCACGAAGTCACCATGGCCTTGTAAGATCTTTAACTGCTTTACAAAAGCATCTCACAGTCTCGAAAGGCCACTGCGAGAGGCGGAGCTACAAAGCGCACTTTGTCGTCTGCTTCCGAGTATTTTCTTTCCCAATATGGCGGCGACCGGAGTCTCTTATCGGGGTGCACCTCCACTTCAGAAGACATAGTATAGAACCTCCTTGGTCCATCCATGGTTCTGTTCTTGCGTGCTTCCGGCGGTTCGTCTGTTCGTATTTCCATCCGTCTGTCCGTTCGTGCTTCCATCCGTCTGTCAGTCAATCTTTCTGGCGGTCTGACCATCCGTGCATCCGTTCATCATGCTTCCATCAGTTCGTGCATGCTTCTTTCCGTCCGCCTGTCTATCCGCGCGTCCATCAATCCTTGTTTGTCCTGTCCGCGCTTTCATACGACCGTCCCTTCGTGCGTCCATCCGTTTGTGCTTAACTCCATCTGACTCTGTCGGTCCATCCGTCCATCCATCTGTCTGTTTTTCAGTCCTTCAACTATAGAACATAGTGAACTGAAAGAAAATCTATAACTGCCTTGCAGTGATAATATTTTCAAAGACACGTAGGCAAAACGCCATCTATTCACCTATTCGTAATCTAGAGGTGGCTGCATACTACTACTACTACAAAGAAGGGAACGACCTACAGAAAAGGGAACGAGCTATGGTGGTGGTCATAACCCTCTTCCCTTTGTTCACCTATTGTGGTATATACGGACATCTAAACAACTTAGCGCGAATCGGCGCCATCAGTAGCCATAATGGCGAGCGTGCAGCATATTTTTCGACATAAACATAGCCGTGTAACAATGATGCTAGGCAAAGACGCACCAAACCCAAACAAACCTTGATTGTTAGCTGTTACGCTGCACCGGTAGGAGCAGCCTGCTCTTTTTCAATAGTAGTGGAATGAAATTTTGCAATCAGGCCATCAATCGTTTATGCATGCAGTTATTTAACCAAGCACTCCTATCTCTTGCTTTGGACGCAGCAATGCAGCCTACGCATATGTTTGTGAGGCGTTTCCTGTGAGGCGTTTCCTGTGTAAGGTGAACGCTCTCTCTCTGGCCTTCGTTATGAACGAGTGTGCCTTGTGTAACGGCGCGTCTCGACAACTAGTGTGCATGCCTCATGTAAATATGTAAATCAGTCGTGTGTTTTTTTCATGAAGAAGCGTTACCAACACACAGAGATGTAAAATAGCTTAGTTTATGATCCAACCTTTAGTGTACCTGGTCGTTCCAGAGTGTAGCTGGCAGAGTAAAGTTTAGAATCGAAAGTGTATGACATTCGTAGGGCGCGTCAGGAACTTCACTAGGCGCACATTTATTGTAGATAAGACATACTCATAAAAAGCACAATTTTATGAAAAAAACTTTTGCATTAATGAACATCTTATTAGCTTTCCTCAACCCGCTTGGTTTATATTAGTGAGGACGTGTATGCGTAGAGCTAGCACAAAACAAACATTCGTAAAGTGTAACAGCTGGTTCGGTCACCTGTGTGAAGTGTCTTAGAAATATGGCGTGTAAGATAGGAACAAGAATTCTTTTTGGGCAACTCTTTTGCTATAAATCAGCATTTATTTATCATCATTAGTAAATAAAGCGACCTAAGTGGAGTGCTGATATTCACAGTTTTGTGCTCATACTGCACTGATTCCAGGCACAGGTCTGCTTCGTTTGGGAAGCACCGCTGGCGCGAAGACGAGATCAACCACAGCATCCAGGTTCAAGCCAGTGACTCACGTGATTTTTGACATGGATGGTCTTCTTTTAGGTGAGCCAGAGCGAATGGGGTGTTGTATGTTGTCAACGAGCTATGCAGTACGTTTTCGTAGCCAATAAACACTGCCTATCAACATTCAGTGCCCCAGTGAACCTGCAAGCTAGATCACTTGTACTTGACTGAGGAAATAATTAAAATTTTTTCTCAAGAACAGTGGAATATTGCTAGCTCCTCTGGCGACAAGAAAGGTTGGGCGATTCTTAAGCTTCCCTTTTAAGAGTTAAAAGCGGTAGCGATACCTGCACCTAGAGCGTACTTCAACCATTAGTACATTACCTTCTTTGTATGATGTTACTCAAGAAGTTGAAAAGATGGATTAATACAAGTTAATCGATAAAGATGACGGTGGCTTCTGTAAATGAAGCTTTCCCACGCGGCTGCATTCTGTGTAAGAGGTAGCATGCTCTAAACCACGAGCAATCATCTATGTGAGATGTTTTCGAACTTGCTCTGCTGCGTCTACGTTGTCTTTAGAGAATACGTGCCGTAACGTGTGTGTATTTTGTAGTTATATCGTAGTTACAGCGCGAAAATGGTAGGAGGAAACAACATGGACAGGCAAGAAGGTTTTTTTTCTGCACAAGGGTGCCACGGCCAGCCGCTATGTACTTGCGCTGCACTCGTCACCATCTGGCCGTACGTGCGAACTGGTTGAGGAAGTAAAAAAAAAACATGACCATCAATGTCACGATGCGCGCTGGCGTAGATTCTGGCTACAGTGTCATACAACTCAACCAATTTATCTGCTTCCCGACTTAATGTTTCCTAGCTTCCAGAGTAACCGTCGTAACCACTAGAATGAAATATTGCTTGGATTTAGCACGCAACAAATTTTTGTAACTCAACTGCTTGCATTACCGAATAAAAATATTTTGCGACCAGCAGACCAGTAATTCAGACGAGTTGGTGGGTTTTCCGTAATTTCCGCTTGCCCTTCGCAATAAAAAGCGATGCTGAGAGCAGAACAACAAAACAGATAGCATGCTACAGGTAGCAGTCTATCTGTCCTGTTGTGCTTGTCTTATCTCGTAGCACAAAGCACGAGAAGAAATTATGATGCATGAGGCAATAAACCCCATGGGTAAAGTCATAATTCAATTATAACCTGGAAAATCTTGCTGGGTTATTATTATAATTTGCAATGTTTCTTCACACTATTAAAGCTTGTGGCTCTAGGCTTGTTGTCATGGTGACATTATTTGTTGTTATTAATTAAGGTGACTGTTCAGAGAAACAGCGTTACGGCTTATGATCAAACTCTTACTCTTTAAACTCTAACGTCATTCATTTCAGCGTCATAGCTTCAGGAGAACATCAATCAATCAATCAATAAATCAGAATTTGTCTTAGATTCAAAGGCATTATTGAAAGCTTGGTGGGAAATGGAGCTTGGTGGGTACAGACAAAAAAGCCATAGATCAGGCTTAACAGGGTTCGCACCCCAGGGCTTGAGAAACATGGCGTACAGAGTATACAGTAAGGCGAAAACGGGCACATAGCACTTATCGTCACTGTAACAACATAAATTAGCTAAGAAAACCTGAAAATGTCACAATGAGAAAATGGGTGGGGGGAGACATTACTAAATGCGTTTATCATCACGAAGATGCGAATCATGTAAATCCAAGTGTTACGTATGTTGCTTGGAATTATTGAGTAGTAGCCGTAACTCCTGTGCACACATCTGAGTTCCGTAATTGGTTCAAGTTCTGTGTAACCTCCAGTCTTCACAAACCCTAAAATCTCCGCAAATGTTGGCCCTGAAATATTTGTGGAAAATCTGTCAATATTTTTCATACATACCCAAGTTGTAGCGCTTGTTTCGAATTGCGTGATAGAGCTCTTTTACTGGAAATAAGTTCAGAGCCTTGAAAATTGGTTTCACTGTGGCCAACACATGCGGCAATAACAATTTCCGAATGACTTTATTTTAGAGTTTTTGTAAATTCTGAACACTGGTATTGCGTGGTCGTGTGCCAGACTAAGTGACGATAAGCTTGACGAAAACAATGATTTGTGAACTATCAACTTCATATTTTGTGGCACGACGTAACAAAACTTGGATGATGTTTCCACAGTTTTTTTTTTGTTTATCCAGTGTGCCATTCACTTGTTCTGTCTACGTCACATGTTCTTCAAAAATGACTCACAGGCTTCTAGCAACGCGTGACGATTCTATAGTTGAGGTACCTAACTTAAGACAGTTTGTGGTGTTCAGTGTTTTCTTCTGAGGCCGAAATATAACAACTTTTGTTTTTGCCGCGTTTCGGTTCAAAGAAATGGTGATACTCCTAGTGTGAACTTCGTTTAGGACGACGTTTCTTTTTTCTGAGATGTGTGAAGGGTCACGACGTCCTGAGATAAAAATACTTGTCTCATCAGCGTAGATGATAAACTTTGTATTAGCACAAATATTTACTATCTCACTCACATATATATTAAAAGCAATGAGCCCAAAATGATACCCTGAAGTACACCAGCCTTAACTTGTTTGAATTCTGATACAAAATCATTAACGGTGGCTTGGTAGCGGTGATGAACAATGTAAAAAAAATTATAAGTTTCAGGAAAGTCCCTCTAAAACCACAATGCTGCAGTTCCTCGAACAAAGAATTGTGTTTAATTAAGTCAAATGCTTTCGAATAATGAAATATTAGGCCTAGTGTACAAAGATGACTCTCGAAACACTCTAAAATTGGCTTCTTTTGTCTCAAAACAGCCGTCTCAGTTGAACAATCCTTCCAGAAACAAAACTGGCGAGGCGTAATGATGTAATACGTCGCTTAAAAAGGCATATACGTTGATACATCAATTTCTCAAAGCAATTAAGAAACTGGATATAAACAATTGTGCAATAATTGAAGAAATCATTAATGTCACCGTCTGTTAATATAACAGTTACCTTTGACATCTGTAGTTGTTCGTCAAACGTGCCAACAGAAACATAAGCTTAATGACGTGTTCTAGAATTGGCGTTATAATGTTGGTCAGAAATTCCTTAGGTCAGATCTGCAATTCGTGAACAATCGTACACGTACCGTTTTTTAGTTACAAAACAGATGTTTATTTTTGCGTTGTAGTTGGATAGAAGAATGCGCTTTTTTTATCTGTGCTGTTAAATACTAAATGCTGTTCGGATCGTGAATACTATTCGCAAGTGATGTGAAAAAGTCGTTGAAGGAATTTGCCAAGCGCGCATGTGTAAACGCTTAGCCCTTGATAGTAATGATGACGCGCTACCTATGACGCGCTATTTTTATTTTGAAAAAGCTTTTGAGAAGCACCTCACACCCGCCTGTTCTAGAAAAAGTCTTATCTAAACCTCCATCATCTTGGTTTTCATTGGATAAGTGATTTTATGTGCAAAAGCCAACAGTTAAATACTAAAACGAACACTTTTCAGGCTCGTACTCGTTACATCCGGGCTCCCTCATGGCACATCCTCGGGCTCCTCCCCTTTCTCATTCACATTACATATCTTCTAACTAACATTTCTTCCGGATTTCAATTGTCTTCAGACGATTGCGTACTATACCGGCCTTTTAAAATTGATCATGATGTTTTATGCTTACAATCTCACCTCAGTAAAATTGAACATCGGTGTCACGAGTGGTTTATGTCAGTAAACGCAACGAAAACCCACCTTCTCACTTTTCATGAAAGAAGTCATACCCTGTTCGTAATTATATCGTATGTAACTCTTTATTATCTGCTATTAATATCTACAAGTATTTACGAATTAATCTCACTTTTATTCTATCATGGCCCAGCCCCAAAACCAGAATAACAATTTCTGCTAATCGTTAGTTGTGTAGGGTTTAACGTCCCAAAACCCCCATATGCATATGAGAGACGCCGTAGTGGAGGGCTCCGGAAATTTCGACCATCTGGGGTTCTTTAGCGTTCACCCAAATCAGAGCACATGTGCCTATAACATTTCTGCCTTCATCGGAAATGCAGCCGCCGCAGCCGGGATCATACCCCGCGACCTGCAGGTTAGCAGCCGAGTACTTTAGCCACTATACCACCGCGTCGGGGCGCATTTCTGCTAATCGTGTTCTTGGTTTCTTGCCACATATATCCGATTAGCAACCTCCTCAGTCAAACGTTTAACCTACTGCTTTCTAGTCAGGCCAAATTTTGTGATATGCGTTTGTCATAAGCAACATTTAGCAACATAGCCACAATACCATGATTGAATTCATACAGATATGTTTCATTTTTTGGACTAGTTCTATAACTCCAGTTGATCAAAACTCAAATCCCAAGCAAACCTTCCGAGCCTTGGATCACGGTGTCGAGTCACCCACCTTTCTCTCTTTCACAAGTTCTCTTACAAATCATCCCAAGTCGAACTCATTGTTCACGCACATCGCCACTCAAGCCGGACCAACCACGAAAAGACCGTATACCCCTCTCAAAATCTCACTGTCTCCCATGCGTTCTCCTTCTTCAACATGACATCGGGTGACTGGAATGGGCTTTCCAGAAAAGCAGTGCTTCAATCTGACTCAACCACGTGCAAACGCATTCTAAAAGACCTGATAATGTAGATTTGCCCACCCCTCATGCAAAACCGACTTCATTTAGGGTCTTTGAAGTATCATATAAAATAATAAAATAAAATGAAGTAGATTCTTCTTGGGGTCACAGTGCAGCACACTGTTCAATTGTTTCCACATAAGGTGTGGGCTTTTGAGCACTTCAGGGGAAAAGTTATTGCTTTAATCATTTTGTTTCGCTGTTTGGGGCTGTTTGTTCAGCTGGTTCCCTAAGGCCCTAAAGAAAGTAAATCTGTAAGAGCTCTTATTTTCATAAACATATGATACAGTTGGTCTTTTCTTCCATACTCATAAGGTGTTGCCCTGTGACCCATAGCTTGCGAGCTTTCCGAGCTCGTTTTCGTGGTTTGCGTTGAAAATATTGTTCATGCACTGCCTTAAAACATTCATGAACCTATTATACGCTGCCTCTGGTTCAGCAGCTTCTAATACTTGGCTCCATTCTGTTCAAAGCGTATGATAACGAAGGCTTTCAAAGTGCGAGCAGTTTATCTGTTTTTAAGACTTAGTGAACGGGTGTCGTGACGTAGTGGAGGGCTCTATTTGCGCCGATAGTAGATAAATGGGTAGCTGATCGCTCACAGAACTGATGACGCCAGAACTGAGATGCTGGGGTGAAATATTCGTAACAAAGACGTCTAGTAATGTCAAAGAAGCTGATTGTACTGCTGTAGGTCAACTGATTGCATTATTAAACCGTGTTCACGTCCAAGAATAAAAAGATGATGCAATAATTGTTGATTTTTGCAAGCAGTCTATATTTATGTCACCTTCTAGAATGACAGTGCTAGCATCATCATTAAAATAACTCTAAAATGGGTAGAAATTCCACACACTCACGTGAGATGGACGGTACATAATGTTGTACACTTTAGCGCCATTTTCGACAGCGAGAACCTCAAAAGCATTAGTGGTTCTGGAACATTCTTCCACAATAACACATTTCATGTCATTCTTCACTAACATGATAACTCCGCCAGCATTTCTAGGGTTGCAGTTTACAAAGAAACAAGTAAATCCTTGAATTTTTTACACTTGAGAAGAATCGCGATACCACGAAGAAGGTTGAAGTGCAATTTTGTAATTTCGCGCCAAGATATCTTTGTTTAACGTCACGAATTTCAAACCAACTCTTTATTATTAGGGCGAGATTCGCCCACACAATTTTTTGTGGAACTTGGTTGGTCAAGGCTCTGACACGCTCAGAGGATACTTCATTGTAACCGATTAGGTACGACGTAAATCCATGTAGAGGTTAGCAAAATATAAGACGTGACGGCGATTGCTGTGAGAGTACCAGGGCTATGTCACCACTTACATTTTATTGCGTGTTTTCGCGATTATCAGGCGTGTTATTGCGGTAAGCATGGTGACTTTGGTATCATGAAAGGGTAATGAACCAATAGGAGGAAAGGTTTTCCTTTTCCTCCTTTGTTAATGTGATATGTGCAGAACAGATATTAGGTTGGAAGTGGATGTGATTTGTGTGTGTTTGTGTTAACAGAACTGTTTGCTGGCCTTGATGGTATTGGCGTAGAGACGTAAGAGACGTAATTTATCAACCAAATACCAGACTCAACGAGAATGACATTGAAACGTAATTCAGCACACCAGAGAGCGTAAACTAAATCACGGAGTCTAAAGACTGCAACTGTGAGCCGCGCTTTAAAGAGATGAATATTTTAGGCAAAAGACAGTCTATGAAAGCGTACCAGAGGAAAGAAAATAAAGGAACAAGTTGTTTTAGCTATACGTCTGGTGCATTTTACGTAGTCTAAAAAAGATAAATTGATTGTTAGAATGCCTAGGTTGTGTTGAGTGAGCCTGCGCTCCTGCTTTGTCTATTTCTGGGTTAACGCTGCGTAATTCAATTGAAGGTGCCGCTTGGCTTGTCTTCTTGTTTTTATGTTTCAGAATTTTTAAGTGGCAGCCTATTGAGGTTTTTTGGAGAGCTGCGGATGACGAGACAAGAACGATATAAAATCTACAGGACAGGTGGTGCGCAAATCAATGCTGTAGGTTTGCCCAACGCCTATCCTGCAGTTCATGTATCGTCCTTGTTTCATCCTATGGAGGGCAAAAAAAAACAAAAAACATGAACATCCACCAACCATGCAAGTCTTCAAGTGTGTTTTTTTGCGTGTGTGTTGCGCGTGCGTATGTGCATTTTTATTTGTTCAGTATGACCATAGCATGCTCCTAAAAAGCTGTGATAAAGGCTCTCATTGTGTCATTACAAAAGATTTGCGAGACTTAATATAACAAGGAGCTGGAATGAATAATAAGTACCAGCGGTATGTTAGTATGTACACAGTGAAGCTACTTAGCAGTAACTTCAATGTTCGTAGGCTCCTGTGTGATCACGTATGTGCGCTAACTACTTAGTCTTCCTTACTTTTTGAATGCTCGTTTTGTTGGCAACTAAGCCCTTTCGGGTTGTGAGAAGACGAGAGTTTTGAGAGTGATGAACGTCGCCGCAAAACCCACGCAGTCAACTGGTTAACAGGGTCTTCACTCTTCTGCATTCATTGATCACGCTTGGCGTCAACCCGGAAGACACGGAGAATTTGTACACTCGTGCAGCGGAGACGGTGGCAGTCACGGTATGGCAAAACGTTACCTGGGAACTCAAGAAGCGGGTGATGGGAACGCCCGAAGCCGACGCGGCGCGCACTACCATCGACTTCCTCGGCCTGCCCCTGACAACGGACGAGTACATGGCGGCACTGGACCACATATTTGAAGAGACGTTCCCCGAAGCCCAGCTTATGCCTGGTAAGTTCAATGTTCCATAGGCTCTGTAATGCAATCGAATTGCCGTAAGTGGTGTAGTAGAGAATACTCTACGTGAGAACGGAAGAACCTACATTTAAGTTTGCACTTCCAAATATGCTACACCACCTGAGAAAGTGCACTAGATTATGAAAATAGCTGGCATTGCTGTGATTCGTGGCATCGAGAAATACACTAATTATCTGTTCAACTGAAAATTTATTCATAAATTGTTATGAAGCATTCCACGTAAGGCGCATCGCGCCCCTCAACAGATTTCAAGCAAAGATAACACATCTTTTTCAATGAAAAAATTGCTAAAATGTGGTTGTGAGTTGTTCATTTGGCACGGGGCCTTTTGGTTTGCATATGGCTAAATGTATTACCCGACACCTGCGTCAAGTGGGCGAGGTATGTGTACTTGTGGGCAGTGCATTACAGGTCACGAGGGCTTTGCCTAATCTAAGTGACGCAAGCGTGTTGCAACTTGCAGGAACATATATGCCGCTCGGCTTGGGTTCACTGAACATAGTAGCCGCGTATCGGCAGAAAGTATTTTGGCTAGTAGTCACCCACAACATCTTCTCAAAAGGCTTCTGCGCGTTCATTGCGAGAAATTAGACTTATCTTTGTTTTTACTTAAATTTTCGTGTAAGGCACTCTTCTATGTGAACTTTATTTTCAACTTTTATCTTCTACATCTTCGAAAGAGCACGGTCATAGTCTGTCACTATTTCTTCTCTGCTACAAGTTCGCTCTATTATGCAGTTTAGCATTAGATACCTTGATGTGTAACTCATGGTTTCAAAGCCTACTGCCCATGAATTGTACCTAAATGGCCCACTTGAACTGGCATAAAACAACCTCACTAAGTGTGCTTTGGTAAATCGAAGCATTTGTGGGTGACATCACAGAGTACCGCATGATAGTTAACCCTCGGTAGGAGTTAAGTTGAAGCTAAATTATTAGGTGGGTATAGATAAAGAGATCTGCCAGCTTGAATATTCTACCGGTACCTCGTAACTGGACACGTATTTGCTGAATATAATTCGTGTAATGGTGCAAAACGGGAATTTAGTTATCTGTACTGAACTGACGCTGTAGTCACCGTAGATATACGTACCACCTCATCGGTGTAACGTTTTGCAGTGAAAGCACGCCTACAACGTGGTGTTTTTCTATGGAATGAGGTATGTGCTACTGTGTACGTATGCTCACCTTCATGCGCACTGAGGAAATTCACAGGTGTGTGATTACCTGGCGGTAGCCTACAATTTCTACTGATATTTATTGATGCTGATGGTTACGCGATAAGTGGTGTATGCTTCAATTCGTGAAAATGCCTTTTTACGGGTGTGAAGGTAATAATAGAAACAAAGACGTTTTAAACTTTTATACTGTGTGCATTTCATAACCTGTTTCGTGTGTGTGTGTACTGCAGTACTTTTTCTGTCATGAAATTATTTATGAAATTTCATGTTTAATTTGTAACAAAGAAGTGATTTATTCAATGATTCATCAAAACATTGCTAACGTATCGACGCCGCGGGTTTGACATTAGCGAAATTCACGCTAACGGATGACAAAAATGAAGTCAACGAAAACATTTATTAGCCTTGATTGTAAAACATGACTTCTCATCCGCATCTGTAAGTTTATATGTTTTATTCTTTGTGCCGTTGTAGCACCTGTACAAGGATCCACAAATTCACTTATACGCCCCACACAAATTTTGTCGCACACTTCTGTGTCGCATGGTAACGCAAGTGTTACGGTAACGCAAGCCTACATGCACACACCAAAGTGTTGTAGAAAATATTTGCACCAGCCGAGGTCAATTGTTCCCACTTGGTCACCAGTACTCCTCCCCCAGCAGTAGACCTAATAAAGAGAGATACTGGAGTGATGGCAGCGGATGCAGTAGCTGCACTAGAAACACGTGTCAATATCCTTGAGCTATTACTGTCCTCGAAATTCCTTATATCCCTGACAAGTACAGCCTGCAAAATAATACATTGCATCCTGTGCAACAATGTAATGACACATATAATCAATCAAAATCTTCCTAATCTAAAACAGCATCGTTTTAGATAATGGCTTTTCTGTATGCCTCAATAATAGAGTTTCTTCACGAAGTGTGTAGTGCATTGGATGAATGATCTTGTGTTGAATCGATACTTGTTGAATTAAGGAAACCGATCGACCTCGTAGATCGCGGGCTGCTTTTAGGCGAGCTACGTGGGTTTATTATTTATTTACAGGTGATAACATGGAATCGAGAATACTTGTCCTTGCGTAATTAGTACGTAGTTGTAAATGGTGCAGAATAGGATAGTGCTAGCGTAGCATCTGGTGTCCCTACGGGCTCAGTCTGGGCCCAGTGCTCTTTTTATTATTCATAAATAATTTTCTTGACATCATTGCATCTTACCTCAGACGCTTTGCTGATGATATAATTCCATACAGGGAAGCTACAAGCGTTGATGATAACGTTATTTTACAAAACGATGTTGCGAAAATAGAAAATTGGTGCCGTGAATACTTATGCAAATAAACGAGCAGAAAACTGTTCACATGCATTTCACAAAACAGCGTATGGCACCAGCACTTTAAAATATGTCTAGTTCTCCGTTACAAACTGTTTCTAAGTATAAGTGCTTCGGCATAATTCCCACATCATCTATGTGTAGGCGCAGACATGTCGATTTCTTCACAGTAAATGGATGTAGGTTGTTGGGTTTATTCCGGCGTAACACAAATCAGTTTCCTCAACAGACCCACGATTTCCTTTACAACAGCTATGTCAGAATCATTTTAGGATAGAGTTACACTGTATGAGACCCTCCCACAAGTGTCGATTGCGACAAGCTTGAGCCAGTTCAGAACATAGGTGCAAGGTATGTTATCCTGGCTCTGAAAGAAATCTTAGCGTTACCCCTACAAAGGAAACATTTAAATGGTAGCTTCAAGAAAAAAGAAGGCAAATGTGGCACGTGAAGCCTTTTCACAATATATATCTTGGGCACATTGAAATAGACCGCAATCAATGCATTCTACAGCCTAACTTTATATCAACGTGATTAGATCGTGAGCTCAAGGTTAAAAAGTGTAGCTGCACGACTAATCTTTTTAAAAGCACCATTTCCTCCCAACTGTTTTTGAAAGGGAATTTCTACCTGCTGACACAATCAGCATACTAGATAACGAAGCCTTGCGTCAGCTCTTTGACATCTCATTCTACTTCACCTGCAGTCGAACTTCAACCAAAGTTTAGTTTCTATCACATATATATTGTGTTTTTATGCTTGTATAGTATATTTTTATGCTTCTTTTCCTCTTCGTCTAGGTTGCATTATCTTTAGGTCAATTATATGCATGGATAACAGCATACGTTACTTCATCTCTATAGTAAGCATGCTTAAATTTCTTTCTTCCGCCACCAATGTTCTTAAAATGTACGATTTTTAAATTCTCAATGTAACCTCCTTCCTCCTACTGTAATGCCTGAATGGCTCTTTAGCGTGAGTGTAAATAAAGAATAAAAACAAAACATGCGCACGCAACAAATGCACGTGGGGAAACCCAACACTTATAACATCATTGCGTCATGTCCGAATACTCGCAACCAAGTAACGCAATCGGTTATGCGTTGACGCACGCGCCGAAATTTTCGCACATAGCGACGGCTTCAGCTATCTTTCTCATGCGAGAATCGGTGTGTCTATAAATGGTGGTCATGCGGCAGCATTCTGAAGTCTGACGTAATGTGGTGCATACCACAGTCTGGACATAATTTACTAAGAAATACCCACCAAAAGAGATTGAATAGGGTGTAATAGATGGCACGTCAGTGCAATATAATTAGTGCAGTGCGCTCGCAGTGGCTTGCAGATCTAAACGCATGGGTTCGTTTGTGTTTTCCTTGAATATGGCTCAGAGGACGAAGAAGCTCAAGAAGCGTGCGTACGCAAAAGACTTAGTGGCTCCGGCGCTACAAATCTCCGTTTTGAACACGTCAAGAAGCAAGTTATTACTACTAATAACATCTCCCACACGTTTATTGGTGTTATTATCTATTAGATGTCGTTGCTATTGTGTCTAGCAAAGAGAGCGAGCCCTCAAATCTATATTTTTTCCTCCATTCATTTGCGAGGAACTCGTTCTGGCAGACTTTTTGCCTTGAAGTATATAGCACATGAGGGATTATTGATTTGCCGCTCGCCCGTAATAAGTTCACGTGGTACGTGGCGGCAAACTGACAGATAAACAGTATTCCACACTCGGCGTCATGGCTACTGATGGCGATGACTGGCGCTCACACGTTTACTTTACATATATGCCCCATACAATGAACGGAGAGGTAGCCGCCATGGTAGCTCAGTTGGCAGAGCATCGGACGAATTATTCAAAGGGTGAACGTTTAATCGCAGTCCAGTACAAGTTAACTTTTCATGCATATTTTTTCCACATCCACATTAAAGTTACTTAAAATAACATCCGCTGTACATTTTTGGCATAATTTTCTGCTAGATATTACTATTAAAAATAAAACTCAAAGAGAGATGTAGAAATAAATGGCGACAGTAAAAGCATAGACTGACAGATGACTTTACTGAGGTCTTGAGGAACTACGATGCCCACTTTTAGGGGCAATATTTTGCAGTCGCACGGCATTGCAACAAAAAGGCCAGAAGAATGTGGCCTTACGCACTCTCGTAGAACCCCAGGAGAGCGCAAAGTTTAACCTAGAAGTCGCCACTATGTAGGACTTCCTTGCAATCCTCTTCTTTGTTATATTCTGGTTCACGTAACGCAAAACATTACCAGCATGTATGAGTTGATGAGCAGTACACCTCTTCGTAGTTCAGGCGATGCGGGTCAATGTTGGGCAGAAAACAATTCAACCTTTTCCGCGAAGGAAGAAACCCCATTTGGAGAATTCTGGTTTGGAGAATTGCTATCGAGTAAGGTTAGGATGAGGAATTGGAAAAACCCTCCGAGAGATGATAGAGGGTCATGACTTCGTGATGGAGTGTGGATGCAAGATACTGAAGACCACAAAGATGTCGATGCATTTACCAAACAAAAGTTCATTTTGCTGATATTTACAATGCTGAATTTGATCCACATAATTATCCTGTACATGTGAATATACCATACTGGCAACTGTCCAAAAGCCAACACTTATACGAATTGCAGGTGCTGACAAGCTGGTGCGTCACCTTTACGCGCATGACATCCCCATCGCCATTGCAACCAGTTCCAAGCCGGCCTCATTCACTCTGAAGATGTCAAGACACCGTGAATTCCTGGCCCTGTTCCACCACGTAGTCTGCTCGGGAGGAGACCCCGATGTGAGGCGGGGCAAGCCGCACCCAGATATATTTCTCGTCGCCGCGTCCAGGTTCGACGAGATGCCACCGCCGCAGAAGGTAACATGAAAAAATACCCGTAGTTTTTCAAGGCTCAACCACATGCAGGCGATTATCGGGTGATGGGGACGGTCGACAGCGTGAAACTTGCTTAGTCATGTTGTCGTGTCGCGACGGTACTAACCACATGTTCAGCACATCGCGAATAGCATCAGCGAGAAAATGACATTATTGCGAAAATGCATCTAGGGTTACCAAGGCGGTGCACTTTAAAAAAATGAAAATGAAATGAAGACACATTGATAACAACATGCCAAGTTTAACATTGGCTTGTGTGAAATAAGGAAGTCATAAAAGCAGCCTGTCTTTTTGAAATAATGAAGCCAACTTTTTTTGTAGGCAATTCTTGGTTTAATGGCGGCAGTACTACGTGCTGCGACCTCGTGAGGTTCCTGGAAGCGCATGTTGCGGCAAGACGACGCACTTTGCAAATTCACGCGACCAGGTTACATTAAAACTAGCTACCAAACCGTCCATATAAACGGTCGATAACGTGATTTACGACAAAATACGGCCACTGCCTCACTGTCTGCGTAAGATGCGACTATAAAAAGGCTAGTCTATAAATTGTAGAATTGATGGATATGTACGAGAACGAGACAGAGACACATATGATGATGATGATTCTTGTTACTCTGGTGCACACCCACAAAGGAGGATTCGCCAAGAACCGGGTGGCAGGACCTTTGTGTAAAAGGCTTATGGTTTCACAAACACAAAGTAATTTTGGACTGAAATATATATATATATATATATATATATATATTATATATATATATATATATATATATATATATATAAAGAAAACCCGAAAAGTTGAAAAAGGAGTATATCTGAGCAGGGATCGATGCAGGCTATCAGATGCGATTTTTTGAGACAGGGGTAATGGTGGGTCTACAACGAATAATATTTATATATATTAAGAATACTGTTAGACGCCACGCCGGGGTGATGCAACCGTTTAACGGGCCGAACAGCAGCGAGACAGCAGCCAGCGGTTTCAGCAGCAGCTGCAGCAGCACGAGCCTCTGCCACAACAAACGTCTTCTTCGTCGTCTCTAGCAAGCCCGTATTTTTGTCACTACATTGACTCCCCAGTGCAAAAAGAGCGATCCTGGCGACCTATGGCACAGAAACGACTGGTGGGTCGTAGTGAAGTTTTAGACGGTCGACGTGCACAGTTTCACGCCCGCGGCGCCGTTGATCTGTAGGTGGCTGAATAAGTTCAACCATGTAGTTGACTGGTGATGTCTGGCGCAAGATCCTGTACGGACCATCATACTTGGGTGTGAACCTTGAGCAAAGGCCTGGGGCAGACAATGGCACGCGGAGCCACAGGATTTTTCCAGGTGCGTATGACGATGGAGATGAGCGTTGGTCATGGGAGTCCTTCTGGCGTGCCTGATCGTTCGTAGTAAGCGCACGTGCGAGCTGCCGACATTCTTCGGCATATGTGGCGGCTTCGGCCAAAGTCGTCGATTCTGAAGAATCTGGGCGGTACAGAAGGATAGTGTCCAAGAACGGTGAAGGGATGCACATAGTGGAAGAAGGAGGAGGAAGCTTGCGGACGGCGCCGCACTACAAGCCTCGAGTATTAGATGCTCCGCATCTAAAAATACCCGTAGTTTCTCAAGGCTCAACCACATGCAGGCGATTATCGGGTGATGGTGACGGTCGACAGCGTGAAACTTGCTTAGTCATGTTGTCGTGTCGCGACGGTACTAACCAGTTGTTCAGGACATCGCGAATAGCATCAGCGAGAAAATGACATTATTGCGAAAATGCATCTAGGGTTACCAAGGCGGTGCACTTTAAAAAAATGAAAACGAAATGAAGACACAATCATAACAACATGACAAGTTTAACATTGGCTTGTGTGAAATAAGGAAGTCATAAAAGCAGCCTCTCTTTTTGAAATAAGGAAGCCAACTTTTTTTGTAGGCAATCTTTGGTTTAATGGCGGCAGTACTACGTGCTGTGACCTCGTGAGGTTCCTGGAAGCGCATGTTGCGGCAATACGACGCACTTTGCAAATTCACGCGACCAGGTTACATTAAAACTAGCTACCAAACCGTCCATATAAACTGTCGATAACGTGATTTACGACAAAATACGGCCGCTGCCTCACTGTCTGCGTAAGATGCGACTATAAAAAGGCTAGTCTATAAATTGTAGAATTGATGGATATGCACGAGAACGAGACAGAGACACATATGGTGATGATGATTCTTGTTACTCTGGTGCACACACACAAAGGAGTATTCGCCAAGAACCGGGTGGCAGGACCTTTGTGTAAAAGGCTTATGGTTTCACAAACACAAAGTAATTTTGGACTGAAATATATATATATATATATATATATATATATATATATATATATATATATACAAAGAAAACCCGAAAAGTTGAAAAAGGAGTATATCTGAGCAGGGATTGATGCAGGCTATCAGATGCGATTTTTTGAGACAGAGGTAATGGTGGGTCTACAACGAATAATATTTATATATATTAAGAATACTGTTAGACGCCACGCCGGGGTGATGCAACCGTTTAACGGGCCGAACAGCAGCGAGACAGCAGCCAGCGGTTTCAGCAGCAGCTGCAGCAGCACGAGCCTCTGCCACAACAAACGTCTTCTTCGTCGTCTTTAGCAAGCCCGTATTTTTGTCACTACATTGACTCCCCAGTTGAAAAAGAGCCATCCTGCCAACCTATGGCGCAGAGACGACTGGTGGGTCGTAGTGAAGTTTTAGACGGTCGACGTGCACAGTTTCACGCCCGTGGCGCCGTTGATCTGTAGGTGGCTGAATAAGTTCAACCATGTAGTTGACTGGTGATGTCTGGCGCAAGATCCTGTACGTACCGTCATAATTGGGTGTGAACTTTGAGCAAAGGCCAGGGGCAGACGATGGCACGCGGAGCCACAGGATTTTTCCAGGCGCGTATGACGATGGAAATGAGCGTTGGTCATGGGAGTCCTTCTGGCGAGCCTGATCGTGCGTAGTAAGCGCACGTGCAAGCTGCCGACATTCTTCGGCATATGTGGCGGCTTCGGCCAAAGTCGTCGATTCTGAAGAATCTGGGCGGTACAGAAGGATAGTGTCCAAAAACGGTGAAGGTGTCCGACTATAAAGAAGAAAGAACGGGGAGAATCCAGATGTAGATTGAATTGCGCTGTTATAAGCGTACGTAACGAATGGCAGTACGCTGTCCCAGTTCGTATGGTCATCGGAAACATACATGGAGAGCATGTCACCCAGTGTAAGATTAAATCGCTCGGTCATCCCGTTCGTTTGGGGGTGATATGCGGTCGTTGTTCGATGCACGATGTTGGATTCGCGTAGGAGGGCTTCTACAGCTTCCGACAAGAAGGAACGCCCACGGTCACTAAGAAGCTCACTGGGCTCACCATGCCGGAGGACGAGTTTGTGCAGAATGAACAAGCCGACTTCATGCGCAGTGGCCTCTGGAAGTGCCGAAGTTTCGGCGTAACGCGTAGAGTGGTCCACGGCTACGATGACCCAGCGGTTTCGAACTGGTGTGTATGGGAGGGGACCGTACAAGTTGATTCCGATGTGGCCGAAAGGCCAAGAAGGACACGGCAGTGGCTGGAGTGGTCCTGTGGTTGTGCGAGGGGGGCTCTTCCGTCGTTGGCACAAGGTGCATGAACGGACGTACTGCCTAACAAAGCGGTACATTCCGTGCCAGTAATATCGAATTCGTAGGCGAGCATACGTCTTCAATACACCTGCGTGGGCGCATTGCGGATCCGCATGGAAGGAGGCACAGACGTCAGAACGTAAGTGGCGAGGTACCACCAGCAACCATTTGCGGCCATCAGATGGGTAGTTTCGCCGGTACAGAAGACCATCACGGATGGTAAAATGGCGAGCAGTTCGTCGAAGTAAACGGTTGCCGGTACTTGGAGACGTCTGAGACAGGTACTTTAAGAGAGACGCTATCATGGATCTTGGTGTTGCTGAGAGGACATGTCGACATGTTCAAGTGAAGAACATTCGTAGCGGGAAACAGACGCTGTAACATAATCGTGGGGAAGTGGCGAGCGAGAAAGAGCGTCGGCGTCCGAATGCTTGTGGCCTGACCGATAAATTACACGAATGTCGTAATCTCGGAGACGTAGTGCCCAGCGAGCTAGGTGACCAGATGGGTCTTTTAATGACGAGAACCAACACGATGCGTGGTGATCAGTCACGACTGTCAAATGGGCGGCCATATACGTAAGGCCGGAATTTCGTGATTGCCCAAACAATGGCAAGGCATTCTTTCTCGGTGACTGAATAGTTCTTTTCCGCTTTAGTAAGGGTGCGACTAGCATAAGATACAACATACTCATCGAAGCAAGATTTACGCTTAGCAAGAATAGCGCCGAGGACTACTCCACTAGCGTCCGTATGCATTTCGGTTGGAGCGTCTGGATCAAAGTGGCGTAAGATAGGTGGTGATGTCAGAAGATGCCGTAACGAGGCGAATGCTTCATCTCATGCTGGGGACCACGCCGAGATGTCTTGGTTGTCGGCAAGTAGCTGCGTCAGGGGTGCAATTATGGTGGCGAAATTGCGCACGAAACGGCGAAAGTATGAGCAGAAGCCGTAAAGCTGCGGAGTTCTTTTAGTGTAGCTAGCCTGGGAAAGTCGGAGACAGCGCTGAGCTTGGCTGGATCAGGACGAACACCATGCTTGCTAACAACATGTCCTAATATGGTAAGCTGGCGGGCAGCGAAGTGGCATTTCTTCAAATTCAGCTGCAGTCCAGCGTCCGAAAAACAAGTCAGGACGCTTGCGAAGCGGCTGAGGTGGGAGTCGAAGTCCTTCGAAAAAACGACGACGTCATGCGAATAGCGCAGGCATGTGTTCCATTTAAAGCCTCTAAGGATGTTGTCCATGAGACGCTTGAAGGTGGCAGGCGCATTACAGAGGCCGAATGGCATCACGATAAATTCATACGATCCGTCAGCTGTTACAAACGCAGCCTTGGGGCGG